TAAAACCCTGAATGAGCTGTTCAGACCACCAACTAAACTGAACAATTTCATATCAACTGAACTCAATTATTCTGCTTTAATTAACCACAAAAAGATCTAACCCCTCAGAAATTAACAGTTCTTTCATCTTCCAAGCAAGTAACAGAGTACAAACATCAATAAATTCTAAAATGCCAGTTCAAGTTGAAACTTCCCAGATGCTTTATTATTTCACTATGTGTAGATGCCTGTTGGAATAATCAGCATTCAAGAACTCCCCCCCCAGCCACACCACTTCATTAACAGCAAAGCCATTGATGCAGTAAACAAAATGGGCCACAATGACACAAAAAAAAAACCACTTCCAAAACCCCATGGATCAAGTGATATCAGAGCAGAAGTGTTGACAGGGAGAAAGGAAAAAGAACACATGGGAAGAAATAATTTGGGATAAAAATAAGTGGATTCTTTTACATTTTGGAAAAGTTTAAGAAGGTAGGTACTACAAAAGCGTACACACTGGTTTGTCAAACCCTTTTTTTTCTATTTTTTCCCTTTTGTAGTAATTTTCTACAGTGCTGTCTCAGGTGTGACTGCTTAGACCATGCAGTCTGATCAGGCCAGCAGAGGCTGTGGGCAGGTTGGCATTATATGACAGCCTTCAGATTTTACACTAAATTATATGTACAATTATGCAATGGAATGTAAAATATATCAAGGGAAATATAGATTGGATGTAGGGAAAAGTTTTTTATGGAAAGAGTGATAAAGTCCTGGAACGGTCTGCCCAGGGAGGTGGTGCAGTCACCATCTCTGGATGTGTTTAAAAAAGACTGGATGTGTCACTCACTACCATGATTTATTTGAGGTGCTGGGGCATGGGTTGGACTTCATGATCTTAAAGGTCTTTTCCAACCTTGTAATTCTGTGATATAGTTCCATGGAGAGCCTACCATCAAGAAATATAATCCAGTTTTTCTTTTGTGAGAGAAATCTAATTATATGTTCAAATCTCCAAACAATAGAACTGCAATTTAAAAGAAAAATAGGTGAATTGAAAGCAAAGATAATCAAAATTAAACATTTGTGAGTGCCTGTAATATGGCTAGACAATGTCTGTTTTACTCAAATCATACATATTTTAAAAAATCTCTCTTCACAGATTAACGTTTTCCTTGCTCAACAAGAAGGAATGATCCAGTTCACTATGGCAATATCTAAAAGGGAGCTTTAAAAATATTATATCAGACTGCAACTTAATTGAAAATTGTAGAGTCAGTGAAAAGTAGAGGGAGGAGATAGGCACAATACTGAGGATGTCATTTTATTCAGTTTAATGTAATCAATGTGAGCCGTCATTCAAAACGCATAAAGAGTCTTCATGGACTCAAAAGACAAATATTGAACCTGTGGGGAAATTCATACCATTCACAAAACTATACTCTTATCAGATAATAGAAGTGTCTTCAAATTCATTCTCCTCTTAAAAAAAACCCCAATTGCTATTTGCCATTGATGAAAAAAGAGCTGAAATTCATTCTTACTCCTAGAATAAATTCACCTCTACTTAGTGACTATATTTATTTGAGGTAGAGATGAACAAACATACCTATGGAAAACCACTGAAAAATGTAGATTTAAACTCTAAATCCACTGTCAAAATTATAAACTTTCTAACGAAAAATGTCGTACACTGTGATATTAGCACTTTGTTTTCATGGTGTCTGTGTCAACTTCAGCTTTCATAAACTCTGCAAATTAATTCTGAATTATTGTTGAAACAACTCCACCACAATTTAGAGCTTAGCAAGTCTCTTAAACAGATTTCAAATATGCATAACTAATCTATAATTTCACATTCTGAATCTGTGATCTTGTTATGAGGACACACAACTGCACTGCAGAAAAATCCCAATTCAGATGACCACAACTCCTCCCACCTGTCTTCCATTATATGAAGCATAAAAAAATATTTCACCTGCAAACCTTTCTTGAAATGATTTGGTTTATTTTTTTCTAATTGTTATTTTTAAAAACTCAAAATTCAGCCTTTTAGGGCCTGTTATCTGAAAAAAATATTGTCCATTTTCAAGTGAGTTTCTAGTCTGCTTTGTATGGGAATATACTTGACTATATCAGCCATAGATCAAAAAGAAAAATATAGACATCATTATACATTTTTAAAAGCTGTACTTTAAACCCTCTTCTCCTCTTTACTACTTTTCAAAGAAAAGTTTCATCTCATTACGTGCTCAATAAGGAAGGACTGTGATGCCTTTCAGTAATTCCCACTCTTCTTTTAATATTTTCAAGAGAACTTGACAGCACATATTACTTCCTCATGTGACTTAATGACAGACTTAGTCTAATAAAATGGGAATTAAGATCCTGTCCTCTTTGCCAAGACCAAACTCAAGACCTTGTGTGAAGAAACCTGTTCATACAATGCTTCCTGGTGAGCAAGTATGGACTGAAGGATTTTAGGCCCCAAGAGCTGTTCAGAGAAAATGCTCTTTGCAACTTAATTCTGATTCCTTTACAGCTTGAAAGGACTGAAATACAAGGAAAGTAGTTTGAATTTTACTCCTGAAAAAATCCATCTGCTACTTCTATGTCATATGACAACACAGTAGTTACACATCTAATTTAGGGACATAACTGGTCATCACCTACAGCACTTAATTCTAAAAACTCATTTCAGAGTTTTCAGAATTAAGAACTGTTTAAGAGCACAACTCTTTTAATGGGAAGATGCTAACAAGTTGCTTGCACTAAAGGCATTACTAAGAATGCCGCTGACTTTGAGAGAAAGAATGCACAAGTGCAGACACCTCTAGAAGAAAAATTATATAATGTGCTGATGAATCACATATGCAGTACCTAGGTCTTAGTGTCATTCTAGGTCAGTTTTCTTCATTAGAAATTGCTTTTCTACTTTTTCTAAACTTAGTACAAAAACTCCAAAAGAAAAAAGATAACCTAATGAAGACTTGATTAGCAACTTGTTGATCATTCAAGTGTAGGGAATTTCAGCTATAGCCAGTGGCAAAAAAACCCCCAGAACATAATAAAAACTATGACAGGACTTAAAAAAACCACAAAACCCAAAGCCAAAGCCCAAAAACTCCAACATACTTATATTAACCCTAAGCCATCAATTAGTGGAAGAACGAGCAAAATCTTCTACAAATATACCCCCAGCAAGATTAGCTAGACCAGAAGGCTAAAACATAAGGTGCAGAGAAGTAACTCAACAACAGAAATACTCATGCTGGTAGTGCTCAAACTGAGCACATCACACTGGTTATGTATTGGGATTCTGCAATAAGTACAGCTGTGAAACTCCTTAAAATGAAATCCATGTTTTCTATTTCCTAAAAAATTTGATATCAATTTTTTTATAGTAAGCATCTTCCTTTAGTAAGGCTTCACAAAACATTTTCAATATGTAGTTCTTGAATAATCACCTCAGGGCACACAAAGAACATTATGAACTGTGCTGTATCATTCAAAAAATTTTCATGTCACAGTAAAATGTGTGAGCGAGCCAGGTGCTCAAAGAGTTAAGTCAAATTTAAAATGTATAAGTTGAGCTTCAAAGCACTCACATCAGAAAAAAATGGACTTAAAAAGATTTAAACACATCAGGTTTAGGGTCTGTGCAGCAGAGTGTTTTTAAGTTGCAGTTATTTCCAAGTCAAAATCACCTCCATCTACATTTATTTCAGAAAAGGGAAATATGTTTTGATTACTTGTTTTAACTCCAGCTGTAATCCTAAGCAACACATTTTCTGACTTCTTGAGAGGGCAGCTATTTACAGGAAAGCAAGAGATTTTGCTTCTTTAATACATTTTTTCAGTTTGTGTACATTCATGAATTGCTTTTTATGCCCATCTGAAACACTACAAACTTCTTCAAAAGTATTACAGATTGATGTAAAAAAACAAGCATTAATGCAAGATGATTTCTCCAAAGAGAACTCTGTAAAAGGAGGCCATTCACTTAAAAGCAAAACCTGTAAATTGTATATCTGTCTACTCTATTCTGGTGGAGTTAATAATAAAGCATGGATACAGAAAAAAGCATATCCACAGTTTAATATACAAACTAATATATTTTTCTTAATGATAAATTTTAGTAGCTCCTCATTTCAGCCACATGTACATTCTACTTGCTCATCTGATCCTGTAGCGATTATTTTCTGGGATTTTAGATTTTGTCTTTAAACAAGCCGAAAAATTTCAAAACCTGGGAGGCAACAATATCACAAAACTTTTCAATTTTGAAGTTTGCTCACTGATTTGTGAGCAAATCAGTTCTACATCTGCAGCAGTACTATATAATGGATTACAGAAGAAAGGTTCATTAGATCTCTATCATGTGAAGACCTAATATTGAAACAGTAAGTACCTAGCTGGGAAGAAAAACTATAGAGTAATTAATGTACTATAGTATGCATGCATTGATTTTTACATGGACTATATTTTAGCAGTAATAATGTCTGGCACCAGACTACAAATCAATAGGAGCCACTATTGTGCTGTTGGTTAAAAAATAAATAAATAAAGGGTAAAAACCTTTTGTTTAACTGGCATAATCAGATTTCCACACTTTAATTTTGCTATTGTTGTACCTGACATTATTTTAAATAAGATTTTCATCCCAAGTTTACTTGAAATACATATAAATACAAAGTTTTGTACTTATTCTGATAATTTCATAAGCAACACACTGTCAAATTAAGAAAAAAGAAAAATAAAAACATCAAATGGAAAAGGACTAAGTCTCCTTCACATGAATATTCATGGCGATTTGTGTTTGCCATCCCAGTTCAAACACCATGTTATGCTTTGCTTCCCTTTACTGCTTTCTCTTAGAATTGTTAAGCAAGTTTGAGACTAATATGTTAACACAAGGTTGGAAACAAAGTGCATGGATTTTCTGAAAAGGTGATATTAGGAGTATATTAAGAATCAAAGAAATAGAAAAATTAACCTTGAAAGTTCAGTATCTTGTTTACCTCTTGGAAGATCTCAAGGGAACAGAGTGTGCAGCATCAGAGCCCAAATTCCATCTTGAACACCTCTTTTATCACAGTCACACTTCCTGGGAAATTCCCTTTGCCAGGATTTCTCTTCTGGGAAGCTGAGGAGCCTCTGAAAAAAAGGAAAACAATGTTACGTAATATGCTTCTCCTGTGACTTGCTGCTTTGGATTGTGGTTTGGAGATTGCTTATCCAACAGGTGATTGTTTGATTGGTTTCATGTGAATTGTTTTTACTCATTGGTCAATCAGGGCCAAGCTGTGTCAGACTCTGGAGAGAGTCACGAGTTTTCAATATTTTCTTTTAGCCTTCTGTCTGTATCTTTTCTCTATTCTTTAGCATAGTTTAGTATATTATTATTTTATATAATATAGATCATAAAATAATAAATTAGCCTTCTAAGAACATGGGGTCAGATTCATAATTTCCTCCCTTCATTGGGGTCTCAGAAAACACAACAGTCTTTGGTGTAGACCCACAACATTGCACAAGAGATTTTCCAATTCACTCACAATACAGAAGAGTAAGTTAAGGACCAGCTCCAAAAAAAAGCTTTACTAGAGAAGGTGGCAGGCAAGTGATTCAGAATGGAGGCTACAGGGGCCAAACAAGAAAGGCCTGTGTGTCTGGACCTGTGCAATCATTTCACGAGCTTTCTTTTGCAGACTTAAAAATAATTAAAAAAAATCAGTTTTTAAGTTTTAACTTGACAGAACCTCGTGAAAATGATAGATGGAAAGAAAAATCTTACTTTAGTGAGTATTTTAAGGTGTATAGAAATCCAAGGACAATTATGGTACATGTGAAGGTTTTCTTGCCCTCTGTAAGAAGTTCTTTTACTTAGGACTTGAAGTCAGAACAACCTTCAGAGCAGTATAGCCACTATTGCAGCACACTAAAAATTATCATGGCAGACAAAAGAATACTCAATTAAGATTCACATTACTGATAACACAGCTCATTTTTAAAAGGAAAGCCTAATAAAAGAAAAATAATATTAATTTAAGGAGAAAAAAAATCAGTCTATGTAATGTTTCTTTTTCCCTAGCACCTACAGTTCTTTTACTTCCAAGGCAATACCAATCCTGCTTCCACTGCTTTTTTCTATTAGCAGTATGCAGCCAAGACAAGTTGGCATGAGTAACTTGAAATTCATTGCCATTAGCACACAGAATGAAGCTGATGGAAGCAATGCATTTTCCACTTTTTATATTGTGGTTAGCATTTCAGTATTTTTAAAATAAACAAAATAAATGGGATTATTATGTGTGCTTATAGTATGAGGAAAAGAATGTAAAAATTAAATTAGCATCATAACCTTCAAGAGAAAGAATGCATGCAACCTCTATAAAGGTTGCTGTTAATCCACAGGAGAAAAAGCATTATTTATTCTAGAATGTCTTTAGATTAGCCAGGTGGTTCTCTTACATACCAAAAGGTTGGAGTTTAAAGGCTATTACAGACCTAGAGATCCTGTTTTGCTCAGCAGGTGTTAGAAAAACACATTTCTGGGGGAAAGAAAAAAAAATTAAAAACAGAAAGAACAAGAGCTCCTGCGATCTTACCTTATAATTCTTTTCTAAAATACACTGCTAATTTCAGAAATATTCAGCCAATGTTTCCAGAGGGTTGTGATTTAACTATTTTATCATATAACAAAAGACTTAAGGTCAGAAAGTAGTAGATTGTTAAATTGAAATTAGGTAACACTCCTAATTTGAAATTTTACCTTAGACTGAGGATTGAAAGCATTCAGCAACTCCCAGCATTGTACTTGCTATTTTTAGCCAGGAAAATGAGTGATCTAGTGCAGCACCATTTGCTTTTTAAAATTGATTGTGCTGTCTTTTTGCTGGAAACAAATATACTATCCTAACACCATTTACATAAGAAATCTGGAACCCACACAGTGTCAAGCTGAAATGCAGAACAGCAAATCTGTGTTTGAGTGACCTTTATGTATAGTGTGCCCACAAAAAACCTACTAACAAAATAAAGCTTTTTCAGGGCTGTCAGGATTCACCAACACAAGGCTGGAAAGAATAAATCAAGATACAGCAGAAAGAGTAGTATATGGTGAGGAAAATAAAACAAAACAGCACTCTTCAAAAGACAGGTTAGCTAAAGAGAATCCAGCATTACACTCATTTGATCTGCTGGTTTAGTATTCAGGTGGTTGAGACACTGATGATTTACATTTCAAAGGAAAGAATGAAGCTTGCTGATGATCTTCCTCAGAGTATGGGTGAGCCTGCCTAATTCTGCACGACCCATATCCATGGAGGCAATGCCAGCACCTTCAGTGCCCACCCTTCCCAGCACTGCTGGGAAACTCAAGCCTTGTCTCTCTCACCCCAAACACTCACATTTACCAATTTAGAACTTGCCTCAAGCATAAAAGTAAACTGTTACAGGATTACAAGGTTTCTGGTATACCCCTTTGTGAGAGTATCAATAAATCCAGGGCAACTGCATCTAGGAAATAGATATAACAGCAGGTTGTTCACCTGCAGATGAATAAACAAAGTGAAGTGCTTCAACTAGCATTCATTTTGATTTCATTGATTTTATTTTTGTCCTGCAGGTGCTATTAACACAATGCAACCAACAGTCCCATTGTTGATTTCTGTCCATGTTCTTTTGAATTTGAATATATCTACAGCACCAGATGTCAACATATTCCCTAGCACTGTGTATGACCAAAGTTCTCAGAGGAAATATTTGGTGCCTAACTGCCAAATTTTACTATCTTGAACCCTTTTTTAGGGACACCCCCCTGTCCCCTAAGATAAGTTTAAGAAAAGTTTTCTAATGGGGTCAAATTGCTATTGTGTAAAAAGGTGATATACACAAGAAGAGCATTTGGCCATTTTTTTGTTAAATTTGATGTTCGTTGCAAAGTTGAGAAAGAGATTTGCTTTGGTTCAGTTTCCTGGCAGGTTTCTTCCTCGTTCACTGATAAAAAGCAAATTACAAGAAATTAGGTCTGAAAGGGTTTTTTAAGGAGAATAAACATATGTGAGATATTCTCTGTAGAACCATGGTTGTTTCTGTCAGATAGCATTGAACAGTTTAATTTGGAAGGGCCCTTAAAGGTCATCTTGTCCCAAATCCCCTGCCATGGGCAGACACACCTCATACACCTATATGGGGAAAAAGGGGGACACTAATTTATTTTCCCCACTCTGAAAGGCATCTATTTATAATCACCAATTCTTATCTGTAAATCTTTTCCTGCACTCTTAGAAATAACATATAAATAGATATGAAAAAATAAGTAAACCAAAAGAACAACCAAGCTTGATATCCTTCTTGGAAACTTAATATTTTCCAAAGAACATTTTTGAGATTTTTTTCCTGCCACTGCCAGCAAAAGACCAGACTTCTACAACTTCACAGTCCTATTAAAGTAAATTGGGCACAACAGTTATATCTGCTTTCTCCACTGCAATTTTAAGTTCTAGTCCTAAAACAGAGTGCAAGTGGGGTGTCTTATCTTCTTCAATTCAAGAAGTCCCTCACAGTCAAAAATAGCCTTAGTGAACTTCATACCAACTTGATAGATTAAACAAGAGCATTTACATTCATCCTGCCTCTTTCTCCAAACTCAGCTGAAAAAAAAAAAAAAACCCTGAAGCTAAAGAAACCCCACTTGTGTCTGTCTGGAGGATTGCTTGAACACAGTATTTGGTCATTATAGGTTAAAAAATTTAATTGAAAGTTAACTTTTAAACGTTTTGATTCTTTGCTAGGACAGCAGAAACAATGTCCCCTTCCCCACATACACATCTCTCCTCTTTCCTTGAACAAGAATATCCTATTTTCTTGCACAGTCTGAAAATGACCTTTCATTTCAACAGCTCTGTGGATTCCACTATTTGCCGAAACAAACAATTCCTTCCTGGTACAACAGCAACTACTTTAATATTCTCTTCAGACTTTCTCTTCCTTGCAATCCTAATAAATGCATTCAGGTTTACAATGAAGAGAGATCCTACCAGACAAATGGCAGCAAGGTTACAAGCACAAGCTGCTGACCTTCTGAAAGCTTGTTTTCCTGAGCTGCCTGATGGGGTGAACATTCCAGTGATGTTATTCATTGAAACAGGAACTCCCAATATTCCCCTTTTCTGAGCAAAGTCATTTTACCTTGACAACATATCATCACTGGCTCTCTTCTGTACATCTCCTAGGACAGGAAAGAAAGGCGAACAATTTATCAATCATGAATCCATGACTTTGATGCAGATATTAAGTGAAATCCAATTTTTATTGAACACATATTTTGAATATTATATACACATTCATATGCTGTAGCTTTAAGGCACAAAGGCTAAATGTATCTGTTATCTCATCTGAACTGGGATAGAGATATAGCATTTTTCACTACAGTATAAAACACTGGTGGCCTTGTACTTCACAAATTCCTGATTTTTCAAAAACCTTTAAGCCATTTAACCATTACAAAGCAAACGGTTTACCAGGATTTCTAGTTTTATGATTCATTTGATTTCAGCTTGCAAGAGTTAAAAAAGTGTCAGATCACCAGGCTCAGTTATTCTGTATACCAAACCTGTAAGGATTTTTCTGCTTTCTTTCCAGGAAGCTGGATTACACTCCACAGAGCTGTACACAAAGGTGTGCTTCCATATCCTAATCTCCTCCTTTTAGCAGAGAGATTTCACCCCTAAAATAGTCCCTGTGTGACAGAGGGGCCCACCACTGTTATGTCCCACATTGGGAAATGTGAGGCCATCTCTTCAGATGAATATGGGGTTTTCATTTGGGTAATGCTGCAAGCAAAACCCAAAAGCTACCTCATGAAACTTGCCTTTCTCTTTTCTGCCTGAAAAGCAGACAGGGTCAGTCCTTACCTAACATCCTGAAAGGGCACTTTCAATTTGCTGGGAAAGAGTCAGAAATTCAGCTTGCTTCAGCAGAGAGAATTACAGGGTACAATCCCAAGCAAATTAATAACACACCAGGGCTACGGAAATAAGGTCACAGTGTCTTTGGCAGGTTTTTGAATAGGACACTCACAGTCAGTCTAGATTCTTGTGCTAATACCCTCTTTGAAGGTACACTTTTTCCCACTGCAGTTAGTTAAAGTGGGTAAGAGAGGTGTGGAGAGCAAGCCTCATGTTTCTTCACCCACTTTAAGTTGGAGGAGTTTGGTTTTATACTGTTCTTTTGATACAGTTCCTTGCAGGTGCTTCAAGGAAGCTCGGCCTTGAGCTGAGTCAGAGTTTGGTCCCTTGCTGAGGTGAACTGCTCTGGGGCAGGGATGGGGGCACACAGGGGCTTCACTGAGCAGGGGGAACACCAATTCCAGACCAGCCCAGCCAGAGTGGCTGAAGCAGTGGGGAAATGTGCACCATGTACCTTTCCTGTGGTCAATGCAGAGCAGACTTCACTGAGACCCTTTTCCTGGGGCAGGGACAGGCAGCAAACCTGCTTGTAGAGCTGGGCCCAGGTGGAGAACCTGCAGGTGGTTGAGCTGCACGGGACAATGAGAAGGCAGTAGAACCTCAGGGACACTGACAGAGAATTAGGTGGTTCAAAGCACAGCCTGCAGCTGGACCTACAGCCAAACAGGCACAAACTCCTCCCAAGCACATGCAGAAGGGGATGGGAGGCAATAATGCAGAGTGGAAGTCTGGAACAGCAAGATGCTCACAAGGCCAGAGCACCTCTCCAATAAAGTCAGAGTTGTGGGGTTTCAGCCTGGAGAAGAGAAGGTTCTGGGGAGATCTCAGAGCACCTTCCAGTACCCAAAGGGGCTAAGAGAGCTGGAAGGACTTTTTGCAAGGGCATGCGGGGCAGGACAAGGGTGTTTTCTTATATATCAAGAGTTCTATTATCATTATAGTGCAGGGATTTCATATTTTATAGCCAGAACTTCGTACCTCCTTGATGTTTCTCATAGGCAGCTCCTCCGAGCACTGACTCTTACTGGACCTTGCAGTAACTCCTCTCAGCAATCCACTCTTTTATACCACTGCTCTTATTGGCTACAGGTGTGGCCTGTTAACATCAGGCCTGCTCCTAATCTTTAGTAATTGGTCCAGCTGCAACTTTTTGGGGGATAAGATTACATTCTATACCACCTTCATTTACCCATAGTGTATCCCCCTACACAAGGGGAAATGGCTTTAAACTGGAAGAGGGTAGGTTAAGATTAATTATTAGGAAGAAATTCTTCACTGTGAGGTTGGTGAGGCGCTTAACAGGTTGCCCAGGAAAGCTGTGGATACCCCATCTATCAAAGTGTTCAAGGACATGTTGGATAGGGCTCTGAGAAACCTGGTCTAATGTCAGCTGTCCCTGCACATGCTGTAGGTTGGAACTACAAGATATTTAGGGCCCTTTCCAACCCAAACCATCCTACCATGTGATTCTGTGGTTACAGAAGCAGTATCTCCATGTATAGAGATATGCATGGTTTTCTACAGCTCCTCACTAAGTACATCAGCTACCACCCAAAGGAGCTGCCAAGCTTATCCTGCAATGTTGGGGACTATAAAATAACAGACCAACAGGACACTGACTTACTTTGTCTTTCTCAAGATTATAACAAAGGTTTCAGAGACTTGTTCCACATTCAGGTCCGTACCTGTACATCTCCTTTTGTTAAATTCTGGTAAGAAACTGCACACATTTTAAATGGTGCCTTACTCATATTATCAGTATTTTTCTCAAAAAGAAATTTTTTCCCCCTGCAGTGTTAAAATAATCTTTTGTTGCCATCTTTTAAACTAAGCAGCTGCTTCCTGCCAAGATCTACAGCTCAGCTGTTACCACTATAAAGGTATTTCTTCAAAACATTAAAATTTATTGTAGCTTTATTTGTTGACCCAGCTGTAATCTTAAAACTACCTTTGTCAGTGTGCACTGCCCCTACCAACGTGCTGTTCTCACTGCATCAGTTCTAAACAATGCAGTACCTTTGCCTGCAGTTACACTTTGTATAAAGGAGCCTGGAACTGGGAAATGGGAATGAATTATATCCCAACAATACAGAGAAACTCCTGAGATCAAACATGTCACAAAGGTCAGCGTCAGTTTTTCAGAGGGTAAAACAGAACAGGAAGTTAGCAAAAAAAACGTCCTGCAAAGTAAGCAACAGGGCACACATGCACAGATATTTGTCAAGCAAACAGGATTAGGTGAGGTGCCTTAGAGCTGAACTCTTTCTATCCAGGTATACTCTCCAAATCCCAATCACTAAAAGATGTTTGGACTTATAAGTCCACTTATGTTTTTAAAAGGTAGTTTTCTTCCTCTGTTAAAGACTAGAGGGTTTAGTGTCCAAACCAACACTTAAAACACTTATCTGCATGTGACTGAGGATCAGCCTTTATAAAACAAACCTTTAACTTCAAAATTAAACTAGAGGTATGTAGTTGAGCTCCAAGCAAGCAACTCTTGCCAAGCAGATGTCAGATCAGAATGCTGTGCTGTGTATTTGACAGAAAAGCTACTGTAGTAACAAGAAACAAACCCACGATTTGGTAGTGGAAGAATTCAAAGACTGCCAAAAGAATGACACAATAAGTGCTCTCCGTAACAGCTTTTGGGATTCTTACTAATGCATGCCTATACTCTCACATTTAGGATCAGGCATCTGATTGTTTCAGGGGCTCCTCAAATTTAGATTTAAGAGACATTCTTAGGCTACTCTTAATAAAAAAACAAGCATGTATTTTAAAGGAGCAGGGAAATAAATAAGGACGTGAGAAAAAAACCCCATCACCCTCAAATGCTTGGTACAATAGGGCTCTAATCATACAGCACAACTACTCTAATCTGCATGATTAGGACATTTTTACAAATCCAAGTACTCTTTCCATTTATAACTGGAGGGCTATCTACATCACACTTAATGCCCTTTTCCACTTGGCCCCACCCACCAAACTTCTGAACTAAAATACAGGCACACCTCACAGGTGTGAACCCATTGAAGTTACCAGGATTAGTCATTCTGATGCATATTCCTTTTTCCAGTGCATCTGTATTAAGCAAATGCATTTATATTGATGCAAATGTCCTAGTGGAGTCATACTACAAACTGAAAGGAAGATATAAACATTGTAATGAGCAGAACAAGAAAACATCTAAAAGTGAGGCATTAAATATAAGAGGACTGAAGGCAGAAGTCAAATTAGCTCAAGGGCTTAACTACACCCCTAGAATGAAGTGGTAATCATTGTAAGAAATACAAAGCAGACTCTGACAAGTGTTAATTAACGAATTAACAAAGAGAATTCCAGTAGAATTCTTTTACAATAGACCTTCAAACCATTCCTACTCATCAGGCTCAAAATGGTTTCACTGGGGCTCTGGGGAGCTATTGAGGTTAAATAGCAGCTATTTTGTTCAGTGCATCTCACATCATATCAGAATCCCTGGAAGTTTTGCACTGCATGCTAGCATACCCCTCACCTCAGCCCTCCAAAAAGTAAACTGAATCATAATATCCAAGTGAAAAAAAAAAAAAATCAGGAAACAGTTCCAATTGCTGTTTAAAAAACTTTTGAACCTAATAAAAGAGCTTTCAGGTTTTACCTCTCCCTCCCTTATCTTGCCCAGGCATGCCTCAGGGAAGCACAACCTTCACACAGTCACAAATTCCCATATCCCTAACTCCCAAAACAGAGGTCTGTAAGGAAGGCGGATTCATTTTTAGGTTTCCATGCACCTATCAAATATTTTCTGAGCCCTGTAAAGAGTGCTAAAGTAAGACAGGTCATCTAAAGTTTATTAAAGCATCTGTGCCTTGCAGCATGGAGTTCACATATTGTGAATGCAACATTACTCAGCCAATTTAACAAGATTAGCCAGCCTGCTTTTTCCACTTTCTGTCATTTCTTCATCCATAACAAGCCAGCTTGTAGCTAAGGGCAGCCAAGCTCTTTTAAAGCTTTATTCTTTCACAGCTAGAAAAATACAGCATTTACAATTGGGAGCTATCATGTCAGAAGCACAGTAGCAGTAGCTTCTCACGGGTCATTCAAAGTGTGCTACACAAACCAAAAACAGGAAAATAGAAAGGAGACTAGGAAGAAAGCAGACTAATTAACAGTTCTAAATTTTAGTTAAACTCTGCTCAACCTTCTGCTTCTCAGATCCAGCTAGACAGCTAATAAGCCTCATGGAATCCTGGCTCTTAATTAACACACAATTATTTCCCCAGAAGGATTAGAAGTTTCACCAGTTGTTCAAGAAGTCAGTTTTTACAGCTCTGGTTAGATTAGTGTCTATGTTTAGGAGCAAGGGTTACTGCTCCATATCCTATTGGTAATGAACTACCTGTTTTGTTTTTTTTTTAATGCAATCACATCTTGAAAGCATTCCTGCCTTTTCACTGTACAATGTTTCTATGTGACAACATAATATTCTCAGGCAATAATTCAGTCACTTGACACAAAAAGCCAACAGCCAATAATGTCAGCATGCTAATTATACATTAGCTGTTTGAAAGCAGAATAACATGTGAGCATGCACCTTTCTGAAAGGCTAGTCCAACATTTTACAGGCCAAGGTCTGAGACTCTGTGCTCCCTAGCAAGAAGCTGATCATCAGAAGCAAAATGCTAATCAAAGCAAAACCAGTTTCACCAGCAAGTTGCTACACTAATTTCCACCAAAGTGAGAGTTGTACCTTCCCAAGGCATTCCAGAGGCTATTAGTCCTTCTTGGGCTTTTGGCTAAACACACATCTCATTTTAAAGCCCTGTCTCAGTTTTGTGGGAGTAGGTGTCACTTTTAAACTACAATGCTGAAGCATTTGCCCTTAATAGGACAGTCAATCATCAGACCTTTATCTTACTTTAAATCATCCCCAGCATCTTCAAGCAAAAGCTGGCTATGACATTCTTACGGTCCTACAGATTTCCTTTTCAAGGTACAAGAGTGAAAATAACTAAGTACACTAGCTTTCTTCTGCTCCTTCTGGCTGCTCCTCTGTGCTGAAAATTAACACACATCACATACACACAATACATATCAACATATCACTTGAGGAATTTGGGTGCAATGTGCTAAAAAGGTTTAGAAAACTGACAAATCTGGGCATCTTCACGCTTTAAAACTCTACAAAGCGCACTCACTGGCAGCAGCAGGCAAATGGCCAGCCCTTACACCTCATCCATCACTTTAGCTGAACACAAAGCTGTTAGTTTTTCACACTATTGTAAACCAGCTGTGACTGGCACACAAGACCACATAGCTGGTGGAGGTTCATGAATGGCATCTGGCCAAGCCCCCTCTGCAAGGCAAGGAAGGTTTAGGAAAATGCCCCCACCTCCCCAGTTCTGCTGCTTCCCTTCTGAGCTTCTGTTTGCTTCAGCAGTTCACCTCTGCCCAACACCTCCTGCTCCCCTCAGCCTCTCAACAGAAACGGTGCCCCAGGTAATTTAAAAAAAAAAAAAAAAAAAAAAAAAATTACACACGTCACTGTGATATTTTCTGAAAAATCCCTTCACCAAGATTTCTTCTCCTGGGAAGCTGAGAAGCCTCAGAGAAAAATGTAAATAATAATAATCTGATTGCTTCTCCCTGCTGTTTTGGATGATTCTTGGTAGGTGATTCTTTCATTGGTTCCATGTGAATTGTGTTTTCCTAATGATTAATCACAGCCAGCTGTGTCAGACTCTCTGAGGAGTCACAGGTTTGTATTATTCATTCTTTTCTAGCCTTCTGGCTGTATCCTTTCTTTAGTATAGTTTTAGTATATCGTTTATTTTATTTTAATATAATATCATAAAATATTAAATCAACCTTCTGAGAACATGGAGTCAAATTGTCATCTCTCACCTCATCCTGGGGACCTCTCAACACCACAGACACATAACCAATTAATCACCTAAGTTTGCAATCAAAATGCAAAGTGACTTCAAACACCTAAGCCTGCCCCCACAGCCCTGTGTCACCTCTGTCCCTGTCAAGCCAGCTGCTGATGCCACCAGAGACTGCTGGCTACAGACCAGCTACTGTGGATATGCTGCCAGGCATCAGCAGAGTCAGGAAATCATGTCTTGGGAGGCCTGGGAACCTGGAGAGGAAGCCAAAAAGGTTTTGTGTCTGCTCAGTGCCTGGATAAGTCCTGTAATAAAGTCCACAGAGTGAAGATCTACCTCTAAAACTGCCCGCCTGGCTCCTGTTCCCAAGAAACCTGTGACCATGTTCACAGGGGTCTTAAGTTGAGGGAAGGGATGAGAATTTGATTCCATGTTTCACAAGGCTTGATTTATTATTTCATTATATTTTATATTATTACATTAAAACTATACTAAACTATTTATATTATTTTATATTATTACATTAAAACTATACTAAAAGAATAGAAGAAAGGATTTAATCAGAAGGCTAGCTAAGAATAGAAAAACAAGGAATGATAACAAAGGTTTGTAGCTCAGCTCCCTGTCCAAGCCAGCTGGGCTGTGATTGGCCATTAATTACAAACATCCAACATGGGCCAATCACAGATGCACCTGTTGCATTCCACAGCAGCAGATAATCAATGTTTACATTTTGTTCCTGAGGCCTCCCAGCTTCTCAGGAGGACAAGATTTTTCATAAAAAATGCCTGTGACAGAGACCTGCAAATGTGCTGAGACTGCACTCAATCTCACTAGCTGTGGCATTAAGGAAGGTGATATTCAGCAGCAGCAGTCCCAGTGGAGACCCCAGGGTCTGACAGGGTCTGGCATAGTTGCCAGACTATGCTGCTGCTGGTGCTCTTTTACCTTTCCAGGTTGAGCTTTCTTGTTCATGCTGTAAGTTAACCTTGCCAAAAAAAAAGTTTCCCACTTGCAAAAGTTTCTTTCTTCCTGAAATGAAGAAGCTCTCTCCCAAGGAGGCCACTCAATGGTTCCTGAGGGTCAGCCATGGACTAAATTAAGGAGTGTCTTCAATGAAGCACATTTCTCTGTGCAAGTGTAGCTCTCCAAGCAGCATCAAGCCTACTGTTGGCTTTTGCCAGATCAAACCTGCCCTCACAGTGCTATGACCAGCCCCAGGCCTCTGGTTATCCCTACAGAGCGGTGTTTGGATGCAGAGAAGCTGTGCTCTGCAGCCCCCATGCCTTTACCCTGGAAAGGACACCACTTTTCACTCCCATGGCCTGTCACAACTGCCCTCCAGCCCATTTGCTCTTTGACCACGGCTTGCAGGAGGCTCTCCCATCCCCTTGGCTTCAAAAAAAAGGCAATGAAGGCATCAGCAGGCTTACTCTAGTGGAGTTCAGGTACCAGCAACCTTTATTTGGCACATTCTCCTTAGCTAAGGCAGTCCTTGCCCCTGCCGCCCAATCCTGGCAGCTCTCCAGTTGGAAAGGAGGAATTCTGTGACAATTGTCTCTGCAGGGCTGCTTGCAGCTTGCTGGCAGGGCTGGCAGCTGCTGGGCCTTCTCCTCAGCGTTCCAACAGACCTGTCTGCACACCCTTGCTGAAGGAAGCAGGAGAAAGGGCTTCAGTTCTATAGCTGGGCAGAAGGGCTCCCCATGCCCCAAGCCTGACAGTGCTGCTGACTCCATCTCCCTGCTCTAGAGAGCCTGTTGTGGGCCCTCCCTCCACCTCACTTACTCTTCCAGAACTTTCCCAGAGAGCTGAGACTCCTCCTCCTGCTGCTGCCTCATCTCCTTCAGCTTCTCAGCGTAGGCCTTCCTCAGGACATGGGGAGGGCGATAGGGATCCTCAAACACGTAGGGACAGGAGGTCTGAAAAGGCAGAGGAGGTCTCCTGAAGCACTGCCACCAGCAGCTGGGGCTCCTCCCAAGCCTTCAGCCAAGGTGTTTGCCTTGCAAGGCCTGGCTCAGGGCTCAGAGAGGGCACAAAGCAAAGAGCCTGTGCCACAGCCAGCTGCACACTCCAGCCCGCGTGTGGGAAAGACATTCTGTGCTGTCCCTGTGAGCTAGCAAGGCCTCCTGAAGATAGGAGAAGCCCTATCTGTCCTGAAGGAACACCAAAGTCATTACCATGGGGGCCAGAAGAAGGAGAGAAAGTTGGGAGATATGGACTCTCGCTGGCTCGCAGAGTGACGTGGCTCCCTGGTCGCCTGCTGGGAACTTTGTTTTTCTTTTATGGCCAATGGGCACTGTATATGTGTTAGAAGGGTGTCAATATCTGGAAGAACTATAAAAGCTACATTGGTTTAATAAATTTTCTCTTTTGCACCCTTCTGATAGAGCTGTGTATTACTGTACTGTGTCATGCTCTATAGAGACACCCAGAGCCTCAGGGACAAGGGGCAGGGCAGAAGAGCCCTGTCCAGCCCCCAGCCATGGCACCATTGCTGTGCTAGGACACCTTCCCTGCTCCCCTGCCACCAAGCAGAAAGGTAAAACACCCTTTTCCTGGGGGCTGTGTCATACCTTTCCTCGCTCAGTGGCTGCTCGGTTGCCAAAGTATTTGCGATACACGTCTGCCTCCACCTCATGGCGCTTGGACGCCAGCAGCAGCTGCAGCTCTCTTTCTTCCTTCTCAGTAAAGATGGGGTGCTTCCCCTAAAGGCCATGCACAAAATTAACCACCTCGAGCTTGGGCAGGGCAGGAGGGCTGGGACCATGTGCAGGACTAGCAGAACCCCAGCATGGACCTACCTCTTTTGAGCGTTGGGCAGCACTTGCAGAGACCTTCAGGCCCTGCTGAGTTGGAGAGGTGGGGCGCTTCATCACATGGGTCCTCTCCAGGATTGCAGGCAGGTACCTGAAAAGGACAAACAGCAGTCTGAGCTGGTGGGAGCCAAGTGTGAATTTCTATCTGTGGGATGGCAGCCTGTCCTCTGGCACCACCCAGCAGCTCAGTAGGTGGACCACGTGTCCAGCAGGACAGTGTCTCCAGGGCTGTTTGGCATCAGCACAAGGGAAGCATCACCCATTATCACAAGTGATGATGAGAGTGTGCCATCAGCCACACCACTGCCCTACAAGGCTCACCCCAGGATAGCTTCCTTGTCTCTACCGTGATCCGTTTCTGCCGACTGCTGACTGGCCTGAGAAACCCTCTTCCGAGCCAGGAACACGGGATCCAGCACACTCACTGCAAGCAGGAGGAGAGAGAAGAGCGCACAGTCTTTGAGATCATGTGGGACAGCATGGGTGGCAGAGCTGTGCAGTCACGCTACACAAGGCTCACTGACTATCCTTGCCATTCCTAGGAGTCCCAGGCAGGCCCTTTTCTTTTGTCCACACTGGATTTGTGTGGGAATCCACAAAATGAGAGGGTTTTGGGAAAGCTGCAAAAGGCAGGCCTCAGAGACAGCAGAGAACTGTGATTAGAGCTAAGCAGCAGCCCATGAGATTGGTCAGCAGAAAAATTATTTAAACTGTAGAAAAGCAAGGACAAATAGAACAATGGTCTGTGTATTAACACTTGTCTAGAATAACTCTCTAAGCTACAGAAGAGTTTATCTAGCAAGATATTAGGAAGGTTGAAGCTTAATAATGGAGCTCTGTGCATTGTGTTTAAGGCTTATAAGCAGGTATTGTATTCAAAATAAGCAAGCATTGTTTTAACCAAAGGTACCTGTGCTTATAGTGGTTGGATAGAACTACTGTCAGTGTGCTTTTGCTTTGTGTGATTGGTCAAAAAACTTATAAAGGGAGTTGTAACATGAAGTTCTTTGTCTGCTGCCTGGGATGTGAGCTGCTGGCATCTTCCCATTGTCACAACCACGTAATGAGAGTGATGCTGGAAAATGAAACAGCTCAAGGCCCGTTCCACAGCGGCCCTGTCCCGTTTGTGATTTGTAAATAGCCCCCGGCTGGCGACAGATTTGCTCCAGAGCTGAATTCCCACCCAGCCACCCACCACCCCTGGACATGGTTTTCCTCATCTTCCTCTTACACCTTGCCAGCAGCAGGGACCCACCAGTGAGAAGAACTGGGAGGCACTGAGGAGTCCCAGGAGCCCACTGGGGAAATTGAATTGTAGAGGCTCCTCACAGCTCAAAGCCTCTTCAGAAAAAGTTCCCCCAGACTTTTTTTCCCTCCTGAGGACAAGAGCACAGACAGTCCCTGCCAGCTGGGACGTACCTCTGCGGCAGCCCCCACCCCACGGTGCTGACTCTCTCCTGGGCTTCAGGGACACCAGCCGGTCCGATGGCTGGTGAGGGGCCTCGGCCACAAAGCTGCAAACAAGAAGGCACCAGCTGGGTAAACCTGGGGCAGCAGGCTCTCTTGGAGGCTGGCACACATATTTGAGGCACACTGCCTGGTCCTTGGAGGACAGGACTCATGCTGTCCTTGCTGCCTGCACAGACCCTCTTGTCATCTTATTGCAGGGGTTCCATACTGCTGTCTCCTTATCACAAAAGTTTCACACCTTCTTCGTGTTTCTCATGGGCAGCTCCTCAAAGCACCAACCCTTTCTTCTTCACAAAGCAGCCAATTGACTCCAGTTCCCTTCTCACCCAGCCACCCCACTCTTTTACAGCACTCTTCTTCTCACTAGTCACAGCTGTGGCCTGTAAAGTCAGGCTTGTTCCTAATCTTTGATAATTGGCCCAGCTGCAACTCCATAGGGGTAAGATTACTTTCTACACTATCTTTATTTTCTTATATCCTATATAAGAATATAAAAATATATATCCCCCTACACCCTCTCACCCCTCTTGAAAGCAGAATGGCCACTTCATCTGCAATCTCCAAAGCCAAGGGGGAGTGAGCAGTGGAAAGAGAAGTGTTCCTATGAAGTGGCTGCTCTTGCCCAAGTTTGGCTGGAAAGGAGCCTAGGCAGGAGGGTACCCCCAAAACAGTGGCTGACAAGCTGGGGGCTCACCTTGGCAGTATGACAACCTCGTCTTGACTGACCCGACTAAAATTGTTTTGGCCCGGAAAGGCAACAGCACTCATCATGTCGGGGTCCTGGAAGGGAACAGCAGAACATCAGCAGAAACCCAGAACATGTGCTGGATTTCTGAAACAGGAAGCCCTCACACACTTTCTCCCTTGATGTCATTAGCCCTTCCCTCAAAGGGGATGAGGCACTCCTGAGATTTGGACTAGCTCATTGGCAGCATGCCTAGGCTGGGTGGTGAGAAAGGTGACAACAGCCCAGACAAAGCAGCTGGAATGTTTTGACAGCGCACTGCCACAAAGTCATGAGGAGGAACCCCACAGAAAGGACAAGCTCACCTCGAGAAGGGCTGTCAGCATGTTCCCTGTTGTATCCATCTCCAGCACGCAGCTATCAAAGAAGGTCATGGTGACCACCTTTTTACGCACAGCAAGGATACCGATGGTCCTGAAGTTGAATTCCACCTCTTTGTTTTCTCGGAGGGCCCCAGCAAAGTAAAGCAGGGTCTCCTGTACGCACTGCTCCACAATTTCGCGGCGAAAGTGGATGTGTGCAGCGATGTCCTCAAAGTCTGGCTGAACCACAGGGATGTCCTCTAGTGAACAAGCACAAAATGACAGTGCCTCTCTCACCACAGTTCAGAAACCGGAGGTCATCAGCACCCAGCTCCCAGGCAACACTGCCAGACAGTGCTCCCCCTTCCAGCTTCATCCACATCTCCAGGATGGACACAGCAGACAGGAAAGGGCAGGGAAACCTCTGCCTCCTGCTGTGAGCAGCCAGATGGAGCACAGGGAGCTGAGCAGAGGAGGATGGTTCCTCAGGGAGGAGCAGGGTGCTGGGCTCACTCTGCACTTGGCAGGTTGGAAGAATTGATATTCGCTATATTAGAGGGGTTGGCACCAAGCCAAAATGCAAGGCCTGGGTAAGGAAAGGATCCCATCTTCTTACCAGGAATTTTGGTCTCATCAGCCTCAAGGTTGTAAAACATCTTCAGAGTCTTGTTCATAATGAACATAGGTCTCTCAACAGGCAAAACCTTGCCCTCTGCCACATTGGCATGCACTGGGATAACCGCAAAACTCCCAAATCCGATATCCACTGCCTAAAAACACAAACAAGAGGAAGTGTTGGAAGGGCTGCCCCAATGTAAAGAGGCTGCCAGGTGATCTGCATGGCTCTGGGGATGGCACTCTGGACCTTGCTCCAGAGTGGCAGGATGAGGCCCGTGCAGGAGGCAAGACTCACCTTCTTCTTCAAGAGCTGTCTGTAGATGTGCCGAGACATTCCAGACCAGACTTTGCAGATTTCTGGAAAGCAAGTGGAATCCATACCATGCTCTGAAGTCAGCACAGGCCACCATCCCCCATGGCCCTACCCAGTGGGATGCTCTCAAGTTCCCCCTCACCTTGAACAAGCATTCTCACTGACTGGGGCTGCACAGCTGTGTTCCAGACTGCCCCCAGCACCAAAGCCTGCCCTGTGTCCAAGACAGGCCTGGAGAGCTAAGACAGGCTGTATTTGCAAAGGTGATTTCCACTTTTAGACACTGCCAGCACCTGGAGGCCTGGGCAACTGTAGATGGATGTAATGTGTATGTCTGAAACACCCACCGCAGCATGGCTGCAGAGGGTTGTTGGTATTAACACTCAGAGGGAAAGGACAAAATGGGGCTGTGTCGCAGACATCTTTTATGGAAAATCCTTTCCTTAGGATTTCTCCTCCTGAGAAGCTGGGAGGCCTCAGGAACAAAATGCAAACATTGATTATCTGCTGCTGTGGAATGCAACAGGTGCATCTGGGATTGGCCCATGTTGGATGTTTGTAATTAATGGCCAATCACAGTCAGCTGGTTCAGACAGAGAGCCGAGTCACAAACCTTTTTTTATCATTCTTTGCTATTCTATTCTTAGCCAGCCTTCTGATGAAATCCTTTCTTCTATTCTTTTAGTATAGTTTTAATGTAATATATATAATAAAATAATAAATCAAGCCTTGTGAAACATGGAGTCAGATCCTCATTTCTTCCCTCAACCTGAGACCCCTGTGAACATGGTCACAGGCCTGGAGAAAGGGGGCCATGTGTAAATAGAGCAGCACTTTCCTGGGACAAACATCTTGTAGTAGATCCTGGAGATAAGCACAACACAGTACAGCACAAGAGCTAGAAAGAGCCCAAGAAATGGGCATGGACTATAGGGGGAATCAAGGCCACCAAAGACCCCCAAAGTCCTCTGACCTACTTTTAAAGAGATGTGAAAGAACAGACTGCACATGATAACTAATTTGTGCAGAGAGCAAGAAAGCTATCTCTGAAAAGGTACCTCTATCAAGCCTGGTCAGAGCCCCCAGGACCCTGGACTTATATCCATGTGCTTAGTTAGCAGTAAGTCAGGGATTAAATAGAAAAATCCATGCCAACTGCATAATTTTTAAAATAAAACCTTTTGCATTTTTGTGGACCCTCTGATTTTTGTTGTTCCCTGCAGTTGCCTGACATCATAAGAGAAAAACCCTTGCAACACTGTTAAAATAGTAAAATAAAAAGCAGGCCTTTATTTGGAGGCTTCCAGGTGTCCCAGTGGTCACAGACACAGCTGGCATCAGATTTCTACCATTTTATAAGTTTGGCAAATCATCACATCTAACAAACTTTGTCCAATTAGAAGAATTATGTAATTATGTAATTAGGTTAGGTAATTTTTCCTTGGATACTGCCCCATTGGAGTTGGTCCAGGGCCTCTTTGCTCCACTTCTTGTGGTGTCTTCTCAGATTCTGATTGGAAATCAAAACGTACTTCTAGGTTGTCGTCTTGAAAATAAGACTGAAAAGCATTTCATTAATCTGTTATATGGTTAATTTATAACTCTAAGGGTAGGAAAAATACTGGGAGCTACACGAGTATGAAGTAGTAATTCACAGTCTTATGAATATATGAAAAAAATACATGAAAAGTAAGTGATCATTAGGCATCTATGAATCTTGGGTGTTCCCTTCTCCTTATGGGTGGGACACCACAACTACCAAAGGCACCTTAGAGCTCCAAGGCACAACAAAGCAGGGCTCTCCTTGTCTGTACCCTCCAGATCTATGGCCCCAGCCTCAGGCTTTCCACACCTTGTCTCCATGTGATCCTGGAGCCTCCTGCTCCTGCAAGGGACCCCTGGGGCCTTACCTACAGTGCTGAGCTCCTTGAGGGTTGGGAGCTCCTCTGGCTCCACAGGATTATAGAGTAGATACTTGTGCATCTTTGCCCAGCTGGGCAAAAGGTGCTTTTCCTGCTACAAAAACTCTGCTCCTCTCCTCCCCCTCGACACTCCACAGCCTCCTTTCACCTCCTGGCAGCAGGACAGCTGCTGAGTGGCAGAAGGCCTGGTGTCAGCCCAGGCCTCCCCAGGGACAGTGTATGGGGCAGGGGCTGTTGCTGTGGGTGCCCTGCTGTGACATCATGCCATGGGGCAGTGGCCTGCATGGAACCTGCCACCAGCCAGCCTCACCAGGGCAGCCCCATTGGGCACCCCAGGCTGCTGCACTGAGCATTCTGCCTGCACATCTCAATCATCCTCCCTGGCTGGCCACACAGAGGGTGCTGAAATTAGTGCTGAAAGGCTCTGAGCCCTCAGAATAGGGCTGGCGATCCCCCTGGAGCTCAGGAGAGGTCCACCTCAGGCCATAAGAGACATTAACCCTGCTTAAAGGACAACATTCACTCCCTGCTACTCCCTAGGGCCACTGGGATGTACCTCTTTCAGTGGACCAAGATCCACAGGGGACTGCTAACTGCACATAGGCTGCTGCAAACACACTGTGTGCCCTGTAGCTGCATCCTCCATTGCTCAGTCACCCTTCTGGAAGACTTCCTTGGGTTTAACTATTGGCTTCCCACTGAATTTACAGAGATTCTCTGTACCTGGCTATATGCACCACAATTAACCATCCCAGACAGGGACTGATAATCATCTGCAGGTGATGCAGGGAATCACCTTCTCTGAAACAGGAATTTTGTTTGGCCATCAGATTGTAACTTTCTCCTACTCACCCTAGTGACATTATCCCAACTCTCTGTTGAGGAAAACAAGGCACAGCTGAAACCCTGGAGGACCATTTTCATCTGGCCATAAGAACATTTGTCCCCACATTGTTTCCCATGTGAAAGCTGAGTGCCAGGCTCCTTCATGGCTCAGGTGATTGCCCACCCACTGATTCTGCTCCAACACTGGCCAGACACAAAAATAAGTGAAAACCTATGTGTGGGCATGTATAATACAGCCACTGGGTATGGATACCAGGTTTGAAGGAACGTGGACATTGGAGTTGTTGTTGTCAAGTAAAATATAAATGGCCCCCATGAGCTGATGGCTGCTCCAGATTTATTTTTTTTAATATAGGCAAACTGACCTTAACTTCCAGTTCTTTATTTTTAAACTTTGACCAGTTCCTTTATTTAATGATACATGGCTTTAAAATACTGTTCATGAAAACTTCTCAAATTTCCATAATACCTTAGGGGTGCCTTGTCATTAAGACTTCCTAAACTTTCTATAAAGGTGTGATTTATGGCCTTATTTGACAACCACTCATTGGACAGATCTTGAATTTACTGAGACAATATCTGTGAGTAAATGTTATTCATGCACATTAGTGGTTTCCAAGTCAGTCAATTAACTTACAAATATTTGCAGGCTCCTTATTTTTTTCACAACATAGTCAGGCACAGTATTAATATCCAATACTGAGTCTAATAAAATTTCCATTGCCTTCTGGGGTTAATAATGAACACAGCAGGGACAAAATCAGTATCACTGTATTAACTATCATTAAATAAGGTATCTAAGCATTAGCAACATAGCAATTGAAAATTTTAGTGTATATAAAAAATTTGTATTTGTCAGTTTAGGTCATTCAAATTCTAACTTTCACATTAAGCCTTGGATTTTGAAATTAGCAACGTGGAATCACATTCTGCATGTTCAATTAAACTGAACTCCACTATTTCACATAACTGCAGGAACTGTAGAAAACAGAACTAAACTTCCTTTCAGCCAGTTTCAAACAGGTATTTTAGAGTTTTTCTTCCTTAATGAAAATAGTTGTCTGAATCAATTGATTTCAAGTATGAGATTCTCTGAAGAATTTGATCCTACAGCATATATCCATGTAATTAAGATACTTAGAGTCATCAAACCTGAGGGATGTATTATGTCTGGTCTAGCACCTGGAAGTCTGTGGTAGAGGACTCAAGACCTATTCCCCACTTGATTTAAGCATTTGTGTGGACAAGTGGGTTCCATATAAGCTGTCAAGCCAACAAGAAGAGGAGAACACAACCCACCTAAGTCTGAAGTCACCTCTGTACGTAATAAAATCACATTCGGAAAGCTGGAAAGAAAAACAAAATGCCTTAGAAGGACATCAGTAAAACAGAAGAAGAGAGACCAGGGATCACAGCTCCCCACATGCTCAGAGCAGTGAACTCACCTAAGCACTGCCATAATCCCATCTGAATTATGCTGGGAAAAGGAAAAAGGGCATTGTTAATGCCTTTTGCAGTCTTCTCCCATTATGGACTCTGGAGATAAATAAAATCATGAGTTCATTGGTTGGACAGGGTAAACACAAGCCAAACTTGGATGATGCCTGTGCATGGGTTTTTCCTGAACTCTTTTCTGTTAGAAGATTGATGATGGGAGGAGAGGCTCTATGTGAGCACTGATTAACTTCAAAATGCCTAAGTCTGCCTGGTTCTGGTCTGAGAAATGTTATTTATAGATGACCTCTGTTTGGGAAGACCCACTCCCTGCTCATACTGCTGCAACAGACTGCATCCACTCTGGTTCTGAGAGCAATCCTACTGCTCCCAATGTGAACCACACAGCAACTCTGTCATTAATATTAGTTGGCTTTTTATTAGCAGTTTGGGCTAGTAACTCTATGGGCTTAGAAAGTGTGGCCTCTTCAGAAAAAGCAGAGGTGAGACAGCAGAGAAATACAATGAGACTTTGTTTGCAGCTTCATAATATGTGTGCTACACAGATTGGGAGTACAGGTGAAATGCACAGAGCAATAAAATAAAACTTCCAAGGACTAAATCTAACTATCTTGTATGCTGAACATATTTTAACACACACAATTAAAGTGAAATCATTTCATAAGAATTGCAATTTATCTTCTCACACAAATGAGAACAAAATTAGTTTTAAATGTGTCAGAAGCAAATTTGTTCCTCCTTCAGACTGAAACAGGGCTGGAGACTTTTTGAACAAAGGCACTTACAGTGAGTACCTGCAAGTATCTGCAAGCACTTGCATTTCTCATTTCCATCTTGCTTTTTCTCCTTCTTCCTCATAGCAATTAAAATCTTCCTTTTGCTGGGAGGCCTGTGGGGAATAGTCACAGGGAGTTCTGGGAGACAATGAGGTGCTGAGGTGAACCAGCTTCCCCTGGATATTTATTTCCTCATCATCTTCTCCACACTACTCCTGGTGGTGCTGTGCTGCTGGTAAAGATTTCTTGGTTTCAGCAAGCACTGCTGGCACATGGAAATGCTGTTTCCATTGGGCAGCAAGTGACAGAGCAAGAGGACTCAGTCAGTCTTAAGCTGTGCCAAGGAAAATATAGGTTGAATATTAGGAAAAAGTTTTTTAGAGAAAAGGTGATAAAGTTGTGGAATGGTCTGCCCAGGGAGGCGGTGGAGTCACCACCCCTGGATGTGTTTAAAACGAGATTGGATGTGATGCTATGGTTTAGTTGTGGTGGTTTTAGGGCATGGGTTGGACTCCATGATCTTAAAGCTCTCTTCCAACCCCGTGATTCTGTGTGGGAACCCAAGTTTGTGCCTCTGGCCAAGGGCTGACTCACTCCTCTCCCTTCCACCCTGACTGACCTAGCCTCATTTTGTCTGCAAGAGTCAAGCTGCACTTTAGGTAAGTGCAGCTAAATCGGGCAGATGATAACTCTGCTTCTGCATGTCCACTCAATTAATCTGTTCCTGGACTGTCAGTGATAATAATTCTCCAAGAATTACCGATTAAGTCATACACTTAAAATTATTTTCCAAAGCCTCCTATTGTCATCTGAGAACTTTGATGTGGACTCTTGCCATTACAGATCATTACTGTTCAGCATCATCACATCCAAAATATGGATTTTGGTTTTGCTTGTTCATTCACAGGACTATAAATGTACCAAAGGAATTACTTTTGCATATTCTAGTTCTTATTTGCTAAAACTTTCCTTACCTAATTTTCCCTCAGACTTCGGCAAATTTTTGTTGCTTTATTCTTTTATGTTATTTTCTGCAATTTATTCCCACCTTCATTATTAGTACTGAAATTATTCATTATCTTTCCCTTTTCATTTTGCAAAAAACCTGAAATTCCCTTCCGCCCTGAACTGTTTAAGGGCTTTCACTTCTGGTTTGTATCAGATGGGCTAAAGCTCTAGTTTTTTGTTTTGCTAAATCCTAATTAAACTTCTGGCCCACATACAAATGATGCCTATTACCTCTGTGGCAGCTTTTTTCTTTTGACTAATCTATGAGACATACTCATTTTCCTATACATTTTGTACTAAAGGAAATTTCAAGATGAGAAACTTTGCTCTTCAAACAATTAATCAGTGAATGCCATGCAGAGATGTAATCTGCTTTCATACAGCCCTCCCAGCATCAATCCCAGATGAGGAGTTTTCTGCTGTCTACCAATCAGAAAAGATCATTTTACCAAGATAGGACATATAGATTCAGATTAAAAAA